ATATAGACGGTACTGACCAGTTACTTGGCTGGTAATTGAAGTCTTCTCTCTATATTATTTGTGTTGGCATTGTTAGGAAATAGTTGTAGTTTGGCCTCTCTCAGAGTGATAACAAGTTCTTGATATTACTTTCAAGTGCAGAGTGGTCTTTCAGAAAGCATGTGCTCATCAGTGTTTTATCTGATAATGGTTTCTAACAAATACGATAGGCCTGAAATTTGTCTCATTGGTATGAGCTTTTCCCTGATGGTGGCACAGTGATGTCTTCCACAAACAAGGCACTCCCAGAGTGATTTTAGTTCACAAATGATATAAACTGAGAGGTGTTTATCAGGATAAATCATCTGATTTACATCCGGGGGTGTGTAAACTAATGCTAAACTTTTTCCCGTCTGAAGACTGCAAAATACTTTGTGAATGTTTAATAAATGAAATCTCATTACACAGGCAGAGTCTAAAAAATTCACCTCAGAAAAGGTGAAATAACACAAGTCTGGAGCGTTCAAAACTGAAAATAACCACACTTCGTAGTGAGGGCTTCGGCCGATTCTGAATTGCTGAGGAGTAACTTTCTAGGAAAGCTGATATATCGAATCCCTTTTGGGTTTCAGTTTGTCCAGAAACTATAAATAAATGCTAGGGGCAGACTCCAGAAGGTGGAGATATGCCTGCGGGGTAGAATTTCAGAATTTCCACAGTACATGAATCTCAACTATTTTCTTTCAGCACAAACTGCTCGCTGAGCACAGTCAGCCACCAGCTTTCTCTTGGGTGCTACTTTCACTAAATGAACTGCTACATTCCACATCAGTGAAGAAACTCAGTTTGGGTGGAGATGGATAAAACCCATCTAGTACAGAGTTAAAGGCGAAGGTATATTTTAAAGAGTCTCTTAGCTGTCAAGTTGTTGTTGGACAGTTTCTACTGTCTGTCCTGATTCTCCAGCTGCTGTTTATTCAGTGCTATGAAAGCCTGCTCAGGCGCAGTCCAAAATGCACATTGCTTGCCTACAGGAAATCTAAGACAAATAATAGCCTCAGAAAGGACAGATGAGGAAAAAACACTGACATCTCTTCCTCTGTATAAAATAAGCTGATTCAGTCCGCCGGCATGAAAAACAGCCTCTGGGATAAGAATATACTTGCAGCTGTCTTCCCAGTCACAGAAATTGAAGGGGGTAGAGGGGCTGAATCGGTGCTCTAAATACGTTACTGAGCTCCTGTTTAAGATAGAGAGTCTTTCCGAAACGTGATGCTCTTGTTAGTGCTATCAGATACCACCTGCTTTCGTGACGCCCAAACTATAATTCGCTGACTTTTTGTAGGTCTTGTCGGAGAGAGTCTTTTGAATTATAAATATTAATTTATTTGAATGTAGCTATTATTAAGGAAAGCCCCCTCACCCATCTTGTTTACTGAGCTTGGGAAACCAGTGTATTACTACTCTGTTCAGGTTCCTTTCCAAAAATTTGCTAGTCAAAAGTTCTCAGTTCTCTTTGTCTACATAAAATATGGAAATTTATAAAGTTTGTGTTTGATTGTTTTTTTTCTTCCTGAAATTTAATTTTAGTGAGTCATGAAAGCTGAGAGTAAATCCTCTGAACACAACACAGGTACCGGGGAACTGTGAGAACAGGTTTTTGATTTTGCATGAATGTTGATGTTTAAAATGGACTTAGTTTTGTTGCTCTTGGTAATGTGGCATTTTTTTGATTCCAAATCTGCATAGCAGAGTGAGTTGGTTTGCTTTTCATGTGAGCGAAGAACATTGGTTTCACTTAAATGGCACACTGATGGTGTAGATGCAGTTCTCACATGCTGTGTGCCTTAGTAACTCTTAACACAATTTTGCAATCTGTGGGGGATATCAATTCACACATAGAGCAAAACATTAAAAAAAAAAAACTCCGCCAACCTTCTCCAACCTAATGTTTGAGAAATTGTTTGCTTGATCTAAATCGCCATCTCACACTGCTGCTGACTCATGAACCAAGATCAGTTTGCTTAGTGATTGTTTTTGCCTTGCTATGCATGTGAAAGCATTAAGTTGTCAGTTTAGCAAAGTGCCATTTTTCAAGACAGTGCTTGTCGCTTTAAGCACTTTCCTGGTATTGGTTTGTGTATGGAGTGCATTCTGAATTTTCTTTCAGTGAGTTAAATGTGATTTTTAGGTTTTTGAAGAACATTCTCATCGTAAGCAGCAGGCAGTAGCCCCCAGCTTTGCTTCAGCAGGCCAGCTGTTCACAGGCAGATGCTGCTCTGTACACACTGGCAGAATCAACTCAGTTCTTCAGTCAGTAGTGAGGAAATTTGCTCAAGGGTTGCTTTCACAGGAGGATGTGTTTGGAGGAATTTAATGGCAGAACAAAGCAGGGACTGCTTCAATTTTCTCTGCAGAACTGGCAATCCCCGGAGACAGAAGCCCTGCTCTGTTCCTTTCCTGGCAGCATCCTTTTGTCTCTGGAGTTAGGGAAGGGAATGAATGTTCGGGGACTGGAACAGTTGTGCTCAGGCCCCAGTGCCATCACAGAGTGCACCCGCTGCTGAGGAACGAGTATGTTCAGTGCTATTTATACTGTACTTACACAGAACTGTCTCTCTTACGCAGGCAGGTGCATTGGTGGTTACATATTCTTCCACACTTTGAGAAGACAATCTGGAGTTTTATCTCAGGTAGGCCTGACCTTCTCCATCTGCTTGTTCATGGAAGGTCTGAGTACACATTTCCCAGAATTACAATAGTAACATTCAGTATTATAATCCCTGCAGCCTAACTTTTGAAAGAGACAAGGTAAAGTATTCTTATCACCGACTTGGAAACAAAGGGTGTCACCATTAAATAAAAGCAGTTTGCACATTGACATGGAAAAGAAAAATCAGAGAAACTGAAGTCCTTACCTGACTTTTGTGATATTCCCAGGACGAGTTTTTTTCCAGTAAGAAGGCTGTTGTACTCTGGCGTTACTGCAGTGATCATTTTGCCTTTTTTGAGTCACTCTATAGTTTATATTTCAGATTGGGAATCTTTATTTAAATACCTTAACATGAAGTTCTTCCAAACCGAGGGTTTCAGGCTCATTGACTTGGGTTTTGGTTATAAAGTCCATGGTTCTTCCCAGTGACTTGAAAATCTCTCAAGGGGGTGCTCAGGCTTTTGTGTAACAAACTTGGTTTATAATGTGCTAAATATTTTTATGTGCAGCATGGATAAATGGGAAAATATGCCTCTGCTTATGAGTGGTGCGGATGAAGTGATTCCCACATGCATGGTTTGTAAGGCAATCTGAGATATGCAGGTTCATTAATATGAAATGCAGGTGTGTTAAAATGGCAGCTGGCCATTTTATGCCTCTGCTGCACTGTGTTGTTGCTTACATAATTAACTGAGATCTATTGTAAATTATGAAATGTTACAAGTAAGCAAAAACTGAAGGCATAATGCATTGCTTAGATCTACCAGAAGTGGTGGGTTTTGTCTTCATAATGATTCCTAGTTATACTAATAAATGGTCTCCAGTGTGTTCTTTAAAGTAACCACCTTCTAATAAAATACCTCACTCCAGCGACTCTTATTAAGTCTTCTTTGAGGACGACAGATACCGTAATTGTTTGTCCTACTGGTGAGGATATAATTAACAAGGTTTGTCTGTAGCTGTTCTCAGAATTAGCATACTTTCTACATTAAAATCTTGGTTAAGAGTGTTAAAATTCATATTTTAGATGGATTCACAATTTGAACTTGATAACAATAATGTAGTATTTAATAAGCAATCTGCCTTGCCAGTATTATGTTGAGTAATTCTTTGCAGTCCACAGCAAACAATCCTCACAGAGAAACAAATCTCAAACGAGAATGGGTTTCCTTTTTGCTGGGGAGTGACATGAGATAAATCACCAAATGCGCATGCAGCAGTGGCCTGTTGGCTCTTTCCTTCCTCCTTGGCATAAATTGTAGGCATGCTACCACCAAACCTTTGTTATTTTAAAATGGTATTTGAGGTTAGCAGAAGATGATGCATACTTGACCAAGTAAAACTGAAACAAGAGAATGCGGGAAACAATGCACGTTCTGAGCTGGAGAAGCTGACATCTGAATACAAAACAAACTATGACGAGGTGCAGACTGAAAGCTACAGTCGGGTGTATTTTTAACTAGACAGTTGAAGATGTGGTGAAAAGCTGAGAGATTTGTTCAAAGTAACAAACACAGAAGTAGCTGGTAGTCAGTTCACATGTGGAAAGGAGCGTGAAGAAGTGTCCAGTTCTGCAGATTTCTCAGAGACTTTTTTTTTTTTTTTTTTTTTTTTTTTTTTTTGTTAGTAGTAACAGATTTTACATGGGATCTGAGATGAATTTGCTTTTGGAATCAAAGTCCTGGCAGTGTGCTGTTGAGGAACGTAGACAAAATGCGTCACAAAAGGGATGTGTATTTGTATTACAAAACACAAATTGTGTGGAAGAATATGCCATAAATACAGGTGCTGCGAAAACCCACTGACGTGGCAGCCCCGATGCCCTGAAAGGGCCACAGGACAGGAGCAGCCAGGTGGCAAAGCGAACTCCTGGTCAGGATCATGCAGCAGCAAGTGGTCATGTAAAGTGTGAAGAGTCAGGTACTGAAAATGGGTGCTGTTTAGATTTATGTGCGTGGATTTATGTTCTCTGGGTGGTTGTGGACTGAGACCTGTGTATTTCAGCAAAAAAAGCACTTTCTTAACCAAGGCTTTGTGATTAATGGACGTGACAAACTTTGTACGCTGGGATCAGTTTTTAATGAAGTTATTCGTTTGTTTCCCTCTGAGCTTCATTCCCCCAAGCTGAACACACTGGCTACCTCTCTAGGCCAAGCTGTCAGCTCAGGTCTTTGAAAAGGAAGGAGTGAGACATGAGGCTGTGGTGCCTTCTTTTTCTCTCTCATTTTTTTCATTTTTTTCTCTCTCTCTCTTTTTTTTTTTTTTTTTTTTTTTTTTTTTTTTTCCTGTGTGTGTGTGTGGTGGGGGGCGAGGGGACGGACAACACACACACAGTCTCGGTGGTTATATTATATAACTACAACCTCCTTTTCATTCCATGTGCTTTGGATCCTGCAGTAGATGTCCTTTTATCATTGGGACATAACAAATTACTCTGGCAAACTGTCAGGCTGAGCTTCTGGAAGTTATTTCCCTCTTTTTCAACTGCATACACAAGATGCCTTTTTCCGACAGTGTATAAAATAACTGAAAATCCTGGGATACTTCGCAGAAGAGTGCTGTGGGTTTTTCCTTCCCCTTGGCTCCCCTGCCTACATCTCAGGTTCCTGCGGGGACACGGGAGGCTCTTGTTTGGTAGGTAAGGCTGCCATCTCGTGGGGTCCTTCTGCACAGCACCCTGCCTTGCCAAGGGGACAAGGGGACAGCAGCTCCAGAGACCTTGAGGGCTCTCAGCATTATGGTCTCTGAAAGCTGGGGAAGATTCCAGGGTGACAAGTTGCTGGTGCCATTCACGTGCTCCTGTTGGTGAGTCAGAACAAGTCTTCTCACGGACTTTAATTTGTAATGCTTTCCCTCCTGAGAGCTAAGGGTGCTGAAATGCTGAGAAATAATACAGAGCAGTATTTCAATGCTAAAGCAAAAATCAATGAGAGGTGTGCTGTTGTTTGAGAAATCCTGCTTGTCACTGACAATATGTCCTAACCACGGTGCTGCAGTGGGACTCATCTCGTTAGAGCCTGACAAGGAACGTCTTGCTGTAGTGGTGTCACACAATGCTCATCAGCTGTTGCTAGAAGGACAAAATGACAACAGTTAATTAAGATTCCATAAATGCTGGTGGCTGGAAACCCTCCTACCCGTGACCCGTGCTCTGGCAGGTAGGCTGTTAGTTTGGGATATACTGGTGTGAAAACTCACGGTATTAACACAGGACCATAGAAGGGCCCACATGAAAGGGGTGCCAATTATTCTTCTTCTGGAAATTGCACCAAAGATGGACTGCCTTCAGCCTGGATTGTCAATAATTTGTATCCAATACATCAATATGTGACTTCAGGCTGTGTCCTTTGTGCTAAACCTTTACTGAAAGAGGGTAGATTGAGATTAGACATAAAGAAATTCTCTACTCTGAGGGTGGTGAGGCAGTGGACTGGGTTGCCCAGAGAAGCTGTGAATGCCCCATCCCTGGACATGTTCAGGGCCAGGTTGGATGGGGCCCTGGGCAACCTGATCTAATGGAAGGTGACCCTGCCCACGGCAGCAGGGTTGGACAAAATAATCCTTAAGGTTTCTGCCAATCCAAACCACTCTGTGATTCTATAATGGTGGCCAAAGGCATCCCTGTGGAATAGGTTGCTATCTCATCTGAGGAGTGAGTTATAACCAGCTCGTAGTAGGCTCATAAAACCAGGGGAATGCTTCCTGGACAGCTGGAATTTTGTGAGAAACCATTTTTCTGTGTGCGTGACAGGAGGGGTGCTCTGCCGAGCCTCCACACCATGCCCATGTACCCCACAGCGCAGCGGCTGGGCACCCGCTCCCTCAGCCCCCGCCTCCCCAGGCTCTCCTCAGTGCCCTCCCGGCCTGTCCGCCAAAGATGGAGCCTGGCTGCAGCCAGGGGAGGCCGCTTGTGCCACACATTTATGTCAACAGCTTCGGCTCCCACCGCTGTGGTTCCCTCATCCGCTGTGGCAGGGGCTACAAGTGGGCTGATGCGGGCCAGTCTAGGATCCTGCTTTCCCAGCAGAGCCCCATGGACAGGAGAAGGGGGCAGAGGGCAGCCAAGGCGCGTGGGGACAAGGCTGACCCCAAGCCATCGGGCGCTGCTGGCAGGGCGCAGGCAGTGGAGAGCTGTGGTGGGGTGAAGGACACCAGCCTGTGCCATGGTACGTGTTGCTGGGCCTGGGGACCTCCATGCCTTGGGAGAACATGGGGCTGAGGTCAGGCCCTTGCTATGTCTTTCTCTTCTCAGGGGACACCATTTCCGTGTGGTGCTTTGGGCTGGCGCGTTGTCCCAGTCAGACTGTGCATGCTGGGAGGTGAATGTGGCACAAAGTTTTTTTGACGTGCTGTAGACAGGTAGACTGCGTATTTAGGGAGGGATTGGATCGTGGTGTTAAACTCAACATGAGTGAAAAATTCAGTCTTTTTGTCCCAAACTCTTACTCTGTTGAGCTGCGGTGTCTCCTGCAAGCCTGCAAGGTGAGGTGGCTGCAATGCAGCACAGCCCACCTTGTCTTTTCCTGGGATGAGGCCAAAAATAACCAGCATCTGTGGAGCTTCTCTGTTACACCTTGTAGTTCTGTGCCCTTTATGTCTTTTCTGAGGAGATTCCCCTCTAACCAGCATGTCACTGTGCTGCTTGCTTCTTCCTTGCTGTAACAGCCTAAAGATGTTTCTTAATTTTCTTTCTTTGTGGCTGGGACCAAAGAAAGTTGGGATGGGCATGGGTGTGGGTGCCTTTTATTTATTTAAAGCACACAAGAAAGATTAGGCAGTTTCCCACTGTTTGCAGTCTGTTATGAAACATAGCTCTGCTGCACAAGATGAAATGGAGAGAAAATGGAGAGCGTGACCTGGCTTCTGGAGAAAAATCCAGGGCTGGGGGTTGGAAATGCTGGGTGACAGAGATAGGGTGGTCCTGAGTGTCGTTAACTTGTTGATCTTCAGCTGTTTTATTTTCTTTCCTTTTTTTTTTTTCTTTTCCTTTTTTTTTTTCCTCTCCTTTTTAAAAGCCATTTTTCTGAAGATGACAAAGGGAGATGCTATATTAGGCTGTCATTAATAGCACCAGTTCTGCTGTTTTTTTATCTGAGTGATGGCAACCAGGGGCTCGGAGACAGCCTGTGACTACTGGCAATTGGAAGTCCTACTGCAATGATGTGACTGGCAATGGGGCTGTGGTGGCCTGGAGAATGCTGGTTTACCCTAAAGCCATGCTGCAGGAGGGGATGAGCCTGCAGCTGTGACTGTGTTCAACAACCCCACATGGATGCACCCTTTCACTCATCTGCATGCCTCGCCTGCCTGTCCAGCAGCTCCTGGGAAGCCTGCTGTCCTCACCCTGCTGGGAACTCATCCCAGTCCTTCCTCCTTGTGGCTGTGTGTCTCAAGCTCCAAGAGCCCAGCCTTGCTTCTCCTTGCTTCTGTTTTTTTAGCACTAGCAGAGGTGATTATTGTGATTTCTTGCCTCAGTGTACTCACCATTTCCTCCTTCAGCTGAAACTTTTGTAGCTGCCATACTGAGGAGATAAAAAGGGAATTAAAAGCTAGTTGTATTGCCCAGAAACATGTTGTCTTCATTTGTGGTTGCTGTACTGTTTTGAAATCTGTTTTGTGAAGTTTGTGAGACACCCACTTGCCACATGGTTATAATGTAAAAATGGGCAAGATGATGGCATGATGTGAGGACTGATGTTCTGTAACCTACTGGGACCAGAAATAAGCACCTCTGGAAGGATGGGATGCTACAGCTTCCTCAAGAATTTACTGTAAACACTCAGGATATGCTATCTAAACTCTCTTCTTAGATGACCTTCAAAAGGAGAAGCCTGACACCTTTGACTTTCCCTGCCCATCAAGAAACGTTGAAAAAGTAATTAAACGAAAGAAGAAAAAGGTATGAAATGTGGGAGCTGATTAGCTGCCTTTGCATTTGAGAAAATAGCTTCCTGCTTGCTCCATATATGTCTATGTGAGAGCATAAGGGAGATTAAAAGATTGAATTGGTAGTCTGTTTCTGAAAGCCTTACTCACAGAAAAGAAAAATGGAATTATTTTCTCTCTTTCAGGGCTTTAAAATTCTGGCTCTCATTCAATAAAGCTTTTAAGTATGTGCTTACCTTGAAGAATGAGAGTATTCTGTTGACTTGAAGCATGTACTGAAATGCTTTCTTGGATTGGGGCCAGGGTGCTGTACACCTTGCTTGGTGAAACCTGGCAGGAAAAAACTTCTGCACCTTCTCTTCCTCTTTTGTTTTAAGCAAAGAAATTCCACAGGTTACAAAAAAAAAAAAAAAAAAAAAAAAAAAAAAAAAAAGTCAAGAACAATAGGTACTAATACTATAATAGTAGCAATATGAAATTACTTTCTGTTTCACAGATGTATTTCTGTTCCTGTTCAGTAGTTCAACAAATGCTTGAAATTTAAAAAGGCACATTTATTAAAACAGTAACCCATTATGAGATTTTGTAATGTGTGAGGTACAAGTAATCAGCTAGACTATAATATAGTAATGTCACAGATACTTGATTTAAAACCAGAAAAATACTACTGACTTCAGAGGAACAGCTAATAACATACTATAATATCACTCTTCTAGTACATTAAATAGTCTTCAAAAAGAATGAGGAAAATGTATTATGTTTTAGCAATAAACGTCCATGAGAAAGGAATTATCTTTAGATTTAAACTAGTTTCACGGATGGGGTCCAGCAAAAGTCATAACGTTAGCATGTTAACAGCCATTTATATTTCTTAGTCTGTTTCTCTTTCTGAATGCCATTGTCAACAGTTCCAGTTTAATATTCTTAATGCACATTTGAAATATGCCCACTATAGCTGGAGTTTTATGCCTCTAAAATAAAGGTCATCAACATCTATAAAACAGATAAATACTGACTTGATATCAAATAGTCCAGGCCATTGCTATGCTGGGATCTGGCATGGGGTCTGAATTATGCCGTTGCTGAGGGATTAAGCAGAAAAGCTTTTTGCCCTGGTAAAAATGAGCAATCTTGTCTTATTCTCTCCCTCTCTCTCTCTCTCTTTTTTTTTTTTTCCTTCCCATTTTGGATGACTTTGAAGATAATTTAATGGCTCTGTGCAAGTTTCCATAAGTTCTTCTTATCTAGAAATCCGCAAGTCCTGGATAAACAAGAGTGCTAGGCCAGAAAGTAGGGTGATATCTCATGTGGAAAAATTATGGTATAATTCAAAGGTTTTTTTTACTTTTAAATAAGAGATGACTTCCAGTATATCCCATGTATATACCTTCCGCCACTCCTTGACACCCTCACCTCTAATCCTCTGACTTCGTAGTCATGCTGGAGAAGTCTGCCATATAGGAGATGTTTTGACACAAACTTTTTATATGCTTCATCGAGAAAAAATCAATTTTGTCTTTCAGTACAAAGTCTGGATTAAAGTCTGGAAAGTAATTTCAAAAATGCTTGAAGAAAATGAAAAGTTCAGAAGTCGACTGTCTGCTTGTAGTCAGTTTAATGGAGAAGGTAGGTAATGAACTGAGTGTATTTGCTATCCTAGAGAAAACAAGTTAATAATGCAAGTCCTCGAGGTTTAAGATCTCGAGGTTTAAGGTCCACTAAGCTGTTTGTTTTGTAATATGCTTTACAACTCAGAAATTACAGAATTCATTGCATACTTCATGCTCTTCTAGCCATATTTGAACAACTCTTATTTTTCATTGAGGGCCTTATAAAAAGTGTATTACTTGGGAGGAAGGACATCAGAAGTGTTTTCTGCAGTCTTTAACATTAAAAATATGAACATAAAATATGTGCAAGTTTTCCTGAACATGTTAAGTATATACATGTAATTAAACTGTTATTCATAGACAGGTCTAAGGCTGCACTTGGATGAATAATAATTTATTCCTTCACATTGGAAAACTGGAAAATAGTGGTTGGTTTCATACTGACAATAAATAAATTAGATGCTCCCCAAAGGTAACTGTAATACAATTTAACATAACCATCAAACATGTCCTCACACTGTGCCCTGAATGCAGCTATTTCATTACTGGAAAATGACTAGGGAATTAAAAGTGGTGCTCTGTACTGAGACAACTTCAATTAGAGACATTGTAGTTGCTGCACAATTTGAGATAATACAGTGTATGCTTACAAATGTAATCAGAATTTCTGGCCTCACAGTCTGATGAGTTTTTAGGAAAGAGAATATACTAATCTGTGAAGAGTTACCAGGTAAGTTAAAAATGGCATATTCATGTGCAGTGCTTCTGCTTAGTTTACATTCATGTTGACAGAAGTTTTCCACATATACATATTAAGTTATATACCAAAATGTACATCCATTGTTGCCAATATTTTATGTTCATAATGTATTATGTTTTGTACTGGTTACATTTACACATACATAATAAGAAAATACTCCTTCAAATTTCTTCTTCATGAGAACAAAATAAGTGCAATTTTGGTTCAGAATAGAAATACATATACCCCAGTGGCCTGTTCTCTGCAACCTACCGTGTATGTAATTGAAACAGTAGAAGAAATTTGACAGCATGTCACAACATATTCTGTGACTGTTCTGTAAATGTTCTGCATTATGTGGAAAAGCACTGCTGTTTACTTTAAAATCATTTTCTGATTAATTTTGGTATAACAAGATACTGAACATTAATTTTATGGTATTTACATTCTTTATACCAATCATGATTCCAATGGCCTTTGTCATATTTTTACATAGCTCTCTCTCAAGCTGAGAAAGTCAAGACTACTAAATCTCTCCTCATATGGAAACTTTTTCTTAGCTCTGATAATCTTTACTCTCTTATCTTGGTCATCAATTGAAATGCTGTCTCTGCTTCTCTACGTGCTGCATAGTTTATCCATATTGCTCATTTGTTTGTGGTGATAAGAGACAGCAATTATTGGCAAGCCTAAAACTGTGTCTGACTTATGCCTGTACAAGTAAATACCTGTGATATCTAAGAACTCCACAGGGTCAGGCATAGGTACCCTTCCTGCTGAACTCAACCATTCCTGCTAGCCAGGAGAGGTGTTCCTGGGCAAGGTGGGTGTCTTTCACATCAGAAGTGTCTTAAGATTTTCTCTCTCTCTAAACCTGTTGCAGAAGTCATTATAAAACTGTGCTTTACTACCTAACTTGAAGGTTTAGTCATTAATGTCTATGTGACACTTAGCAGTCAGTGAAGAAAAAACGTCTTCTAGGATTTTTGTTTGCCTGCTTTAAGAAAAAGGAGAGTGGGAGACATGGATAAAGGACTAGAAGTCTTTTAGAAAGAAACTAGAAACCAAACCATATAATGTGTGATTGCCTCCAAAATTTCAAGTTATTGTAAAAAAAAAAAAAAAAAAAAAAAAAAAGGTCAAGATTTCTGCTGGTACAAGATCTCCTAGGTGGATTTACCATCTCAACATAATGGTTCCTAATCTGTTTTTCTGTTTGTTATGGATACGCAAAGTACTGCTTTGTCTAGCTTGTATTTATCTTGGCATTGAATAGACAAGGCCCATTCCCTTTTCAGATACTTACTTCTTTTTGTCATCAGGAGAGAAATCATTAGCTATATATGCAATTTCCACTGATTCTTTTCTTAAAAAAGAAACAAGCAAGCAAGCAAGCAAACAAAAAACAGCCAACCATGCAACCACCACCACCAAAAAACAGCCAAATACCTATTCTATCTTTAACTGTAATTGTATCTCATTTTTCAGGAGCTTTAATTGAGAATCTACTATTAAGCCCTATTTAGCTGAAAACCATCAATTCTAATACCTTCTTGCTAATTAGCAGATTTTACACAACACCAAATCAAGGAGATAAGTCTGCTATTGATCTGAATTTTTCATTAAACAAGAAGAAAATGGAATAATTCTGGAAGACATTTAGATATGGATCAACAAATCTGAATAAACTTGCTTCATTTTCTAATTTTTTTACTACATTAATAGAGCTAGAAAACTAATGCTGCATTTTATTGCCTCTATAAATAGTTCTATTGAGAGAAAAAATGTATGTGAATTCTAATGCTACCTAGTTAATCCTTGAAATGCTGCATGATTAGATTCAGTGTGACTGAAAATGGTGATGATTCTCCCACAGGCAATGATATGAAGCAAAGTTCACAGAATGAGACATTCTCCCTGGACAGGGTATGTATATAGTCCATTAATTACCAAGCAAGCTTAAAATGATAAACAAAATAATTAAATTAAAAAGATGCACTGATACTCTTTAATGTTATTAATATGTGCCAGTCTTACACTTCAGTATTACTGATGTTGGGCTCAAATATTTTTCAAGATTGTAGTCATGTTTGGGAAGCAGAAGGGTCTGTTCTCAGCAGGAAGTGTTGTATGCGTTCCCAGCACAGCGAAGTGGATTTTGCCTTCACAAAGGCATAGTCCCTGTTCCCTCACTTCAGTTCTTCATGTGTGTGTAGTAATGACTGTTCTTGCCTGTTCTGACCCAATTCTACTCTAGGGCTGGTTCCCTGATCTCTGTAGCTCATTAAAGGCTTTCTCACTGGAGTGAGGAAATGTTTCATCACATACGTTCCCTCCTTTAACCCCAAAAGATTACTAAATGTCTAAAAACTTGGGTCAGTGTACATAAAATATACTGAAATGTGCTATCAACTTACATTGCTATGCACAGCAAGTATTAGAGGGGAGATGCTCAGTCTGTAGAGCACAGAAAAGTACAGCAGGTAGAAATGGTTTAATTTGTAAACTGTATGGTCATGTGAACTCATTTTTTTTTAGCTCTATGGATGCAAAACATTCTTCTGTGATCCAGTGAACAGTGCTGGTTGTTGGCGTTAATAACACTACTTTCTCATCAGAAATACATGTAGGTCTGTTCTGGGAAGTGAGAGCATAGCAGCTTGGAGAAATAGCAAAGCTTAAGGCTACTTAGATACTATGGAAGCTTCCCATGAGCTCTAACTGTCCATGCATGTAGGTAAGTGGCCTATGTCCAGGCTGCCTACATGTGCAATGTGTGCCTTAATAAACAAAATCTTCATGTGATGAAGTACAATCTAAAGAGAGTCTATTTGTTATGCTTTGTATATGACTTTTTTTTCTGTTAATGTAATGTACCACTTCACTTTTGTTGTCTCTTTTTCTTTAGGAAGAGTCCATCTTCGGTTGGGTATAGCAAGAAAATAAAGGAAGATTCAATCCAAAAGGAAATATAAAAGTAGTGAAGTTGTTTGTTATGATCTAGTTCTTACTGAAATTGGTGGCAAGACTACAAGTGGTTTCACTGAACACTGTTTTTCTGTTGTTTGTTTGGCATATGTGTTTCTACTGTTCAAGAGGTTTGTTTTTAGAGTGGCTTAAACAGCTCTGTTGTGAAATATTTATTTGAAGTCATTAAGTCTAGTGTTTCACTTAGTTATTAGATTTGAAAGCTTTTTAATGAGCATAATATTGTGACAGTTTGCTTGCAAAAGAATAGAGACACACATTTAGTGTTGACTGTGTATATTTATTGGTTCTTTTTGTAGCTTGTCAGAATCATAAACAAACATAAATTCAGTAAAGCAGAACTCCACACAAGATATATAGAAACACTTTTGTTCCTAGTGATTTGAATAATTTTGATTTTATTATATTAAAATAACACACAATTACCCTTCTGTTCATTCATCCATTTATACATGAACCTCAGCAAGTATTTTGAATATGAAACCAGGTGAATGTTTTCTGCCTTACTGTTCATCACAAAGCACGTAATAATATCATCATAATCAGAAGGTGCTGTTTATCTAGCTGACTTCAATAACACAATATAATTTTCTTCTGTTATGGAGTTTTATAGTTGGAATCTTGATTGACTGTTAAAACCTTTTAAACTAGCAAATTGTGTAAATGGAACATGAAGACTGCATAAAAGTAGTATGTATACAGATTTCATCTCTATAGCTAAAACATTCACCTGTCACAATTAGACATCTTTGGTTTCAATAAAAGGATGGTTTTCTCATTGCATAATGTCTTAGTGTTTGCAGATATAATGACTGGAATGTCAGAGTGTTGAGCTTTAATAGTATGCCAGTGACTGTGTCATTAAGCAGCAAAGCATTTGGAAGGGTTTAATCTTTGTTTACTTAATAGTAAAACTGCAAATATGGAACTAGAATGTGCCTTTCTGATGACAGTTTGGGCATCAAGTTTTTTTTCTGATTTGTGGCTGAGTAATATTCTGATTTTACTTGAAATAGTTGACATTTCAGCTTGGAAAAGGAAGTGAGAAAGCAAAGTATTCAGTCAAGATGTGATCATTTTTCTGGCAGAAGAAAAATGTCATAGTTCTTTGGTATTTTCAAAATTCTTGTTTGGAGTCACACATTTATTTATTTATTTTTAATAAAGGAGATAGTCCTCCTCATCCCCCACAGTTGTATCAATGAATTGTTGGCGTGAAGAGTAGCTGTTTTATAATCCCAGACTGTAAATTGTGGAGCTGCTACTCTAATGTTTCTTTTCTAGTGAACTGCAGCTTCAGTTGGTACCTTTATTAGCACAGTCTTAAGTGGCCCTGGAAATGAAGCTTTTGTGTTTCTGCTGTGCTGCTACTTTTTCATCCAGGTGCGATGGCGATTTGAGGGGAGGGCCCATGCAGCATCAACCTTGCCATGTAACTTTATAGTTGTTAACATGCAGCTGATAAAGAAATGTCTACTGCGTTCCTTATTAATTCCAGTAATCTGTGTTCTTACCTGCTTGTCTTAGTCCTCGTCCAACATGCCTGTGTTCTGCCTTCACCTTGTTTCCACCTCACTCAAGAATGCAGCTCATGCCCAGAGCAGAAGGTGGTGAGCATCAGTCCTTCTCAGCCTGTGAGGTGTGTGAAAGTTCAAGGAAGGGATCAGCAGGCCCTTCCCCCAGAAACCCTGTGGTGGTGGCAATATAATTAATTGGTTGGGATCCACTAATAGAAAAGAATCTCTGATTGGCAGCACTCTGAAAGGGATCTTACATTTGAAATCACTTTGGGTTAGATCTCCTAATGTAGCAGGGCAAAAAGATACACGGTGATTTAAGTTTAACTTCTAACTCTCTGTGTAATTTCTAACTTTTCTAGGTTCAGTTTCTAACTCTGTGCCTAGCTTTCCACTCTAGTGACCAGATTTCAAAGGTACTGTTATGAATAAGGGTAGTTAGAGTAGTTAAGCTACCAAAAAAAGAAAAAAAGAAAAAAATTGAAGATCAAGCTCAGGATGTACAAAGTAGCCCAGCTGACATGCATACGATCATCATCCACTCAGATCCCTGCTGCATTTTTTTTTCCTTCATAAGACCAGTTAATTATAAACTGCAGAAGACAAAGTAAATGTTGTGTTGCATTAAAATATTCATATATAATCCAAGTAAGTAGCATCTTCAACATGAAAAAAGGGAGTTGTTTGTACAGGAAGAACTTTATTTAAACCCTCTTTCTTAAAAGAAATCAGAAATAAATAGGGGAGCCTCAGGGCACTAGATCATACACTTGATTCAGAAAACAACTGACCCTCCTCTGAAGTCCTTAATCATCACTGCAGAAGCAAAACCAAGGGTCATACTGTCCTGCTGTGGTTCCTGGGTAGTGGTGTTGTTCTTTCACATTCTTCAAAATGCATATCAGTTACCTGAAGTTTTTAATAACAAATCTCACTTGGAGTGTGAACTGAAGCAGATGTGCGAATATAGAGGTCATGATTTGTCTTTGCTTTGCAGCCTTTTTTCTCAGTACCTATATTACCTTTCTAAGCAGTACAAAAATTCTAGTGAATTCTAGAAGTTCAAGAACAATTTTTAAGCTCAACCCTGTGAACATATTGCAGGAGATCTGAAGAGGTACGTTGCGGTACAGAGGTGGGAGGGAGCAGCCAGGGCTTACAGAGTAGCTGAAGGCGCTGCTGCTGAATTCCTCTGATCAGTAAATGCTAGTGTCAGCCACTTGCCTCAAGTTCTTAGAGTTGGTCTGAATAAGTATTCTTTTGTAGCACATTTTTATAAATACCGATGACTCTATAGGAAGCTAAGTAATGCAGAGTAAGGCATTCAGTTACGAATTTACTGGTAAAACAAAGTTTAACTGGAAATAGCACATCTGCTGGGTCTGAAATGTTTTGATTGAAAGTTTTCCCAGATGGTGAGTTCTTGCCAAATGAGGTCCCCTGGCTCCTGGAACACTTCTTGGCAGGTCAGCCCAGGATACGCTGCCTCTTCTGTCTGCCCAGTGACACGAAGGAGTGTCCAGGGCTTGGGGGCTTGAAACTCCAGCCCTTGGTGTTAGGCTACCGCTTCCAAGCTTATGTAAAGCTGTAAAAATCATGAAAATCCAAATCTGGAAGTGCTAAGAGGCTTGGCTGGAGGCAGGACCGCTGGAGCTCCTGCACTCCCTGACGCGGAGCTGTGACTTTGGGCAGGCTTCCCGGGACAGACCTCAGCGACAAGGCCTCGCCAGAGCCAGAGGGTCCTGGGAGGTCCCCCAGCTACTGCGCTGAGCTGGTGTTTGCAGATGCTGCCCTACTGCCAGACACAATGTCACTGATCAGCTGAGGCTTGGTAACTCAGGGAATTGTGTTCTGGAAGTGTTTTGATGTTTCTGAAGTGACCTTTCTGGGAATTTCCACTTTGCAGGCATTTTCAAAAGAGTTTGTTTCCTGCCTGATTTGGATCAAAGCCATGATTCAGATAAAAACCCATTTCCTGCAAACTGGCGGCTTGGCTTGCCAGGCAGCTAGCTCTTTCAGCTCATGACCCATCTGCTCTGGTGCTGAGATGAATCAGATTCCTCTGCCCTAATCCTGTGGCCTGCGAGGTTATAACTTGGCCATTACAATCACCAAAGCTAATAATGTTTCACCATTGATTCATTCCATAAAAAGATTTCAGCTTTTAAGAAAACTTGGGAGCAGGATGTGGAGTTTCTCCCATGATCAGATTTCAGGAAAGTATAAGGTGACCTTTGTCTTCACTGGATGTTTACATCAAGTAAATGTCTTTGTCTTTAGGGCCCTTGCTAGTAGTCAATGTTCATGTTTTAACTTCAAAGCTCCTAATACAATTTTGCATGGCCTCTGACTAAAGAATAGCCTTCAGCAGGCAGTTCAGTTCTATTTTTTTATCTTTTGGGAAGTGACTTAAAGCAAGTTTTGGGCATATGTGACATTTTATGTATGTGTGCAATAGGTCTTTATGTATGAAACAAACATGATGCAACTTTGATTTATAGCTCTTGTAAATAATTCTTGGTGACTTAGGCAGGTTTGTGTAATATGTATATTTTCATTGCATAAGCACTTATATAACTACAACAACAGGAATTTCCATAAAACCCAAAGCATCCATACTTCAATGAGTTTAATATTATAGGCTTTTCTGCAAAGGGAAGTAGCAGGGGAACCTATCATATGAAGCATATATTAAGGCCACAGTGAATTTTAATAAATGCTTATAGGAAGCTACCCACTCATTAGTGACAGCATCACAGAAATCTGATCTGATGGAAAAAAAGATCCTGTTTGAAAGTTTTTCTGCTTGCTTTGTCACTGGTGAAAATCGAGGTGTGTAGCTGCAGATTCATTTTGTTAGAAGTAAAAGATATGGAGGCCCCTGAGCAAGAAGGGAGCATGCCTTGATGCAAAGAGAGGCCAAATACCTGCTGGATGATGCTGCATACTTTCATGTCCTGTTGTTTGTGGCCCCTCTTAGAACAGGCTGCGTCGCATCTTCTGTGCTCCATGTACAGGGCATATTAACGAGAGCATCTCTTCTTCTTGTTCTAAATTGTGAACTCACAGGTGCGTCTCATCTGAGAGATTTTGCTGAATTGCAAACATTGCTGGGCTGCTTACGAGTGTATGTCTGATTTGTGTAGTCTTCACAGAGATCATGACAAGAACATGTTCATGCTGTGAATGTGTGAAATTTATTGCATGCCTGGCATTCCTGCACAGATGAGGAATGGAGGCAGATTAAAAGAGCTGTGCAGGAGGGTTCACTAAGGCACTGACAAATGCTTTCTCTCCTCCAGAATCTTTGTAAACTCTTGTAAACTCGTGTATTTTGAAATTAATAATAGATTAACATGGCTTTTTTTTCTTTTTTTTTTTTTTTCTTTTTTTCCTCCTGTTCTGCTATATGCTTATTTTCTTGTTCCTAATGTGTGTGTGACAGGACATCAGCAGCGCTGATGTGATTTCACATAATGGATGATCTCCTCCATAGCAAAGGCTACAAGTAGTTAACCTCAACTTAAAATATACATGATCAGTTTTTACACCCCTTGGTATTTTAAATTTCTTTAACTCCATGTAGGATAGAAATTCTTGGTTGTGATACGAATTTATCTGTGGAGTGATCTCCAAAGGCAAAGAACAGAAATGCACTCCTGGCTCAGCTCTGTCATCCCAGACTGAGCAAACCAGCAGGGGATGTGCAGTGAGGAGCAGTTCAGAGCATGGGCAGGGCACAGGAACTTGCCCTTTTCTAACTTCCACAAGTCTGCGGCTCATGCAGGCAGGCATTTTAGTGGGAACAGTTCCATGCTCTGGGTTTAGGTTGAGGATGTGGTGAGATTCCTTCCTGTATTGATGTGCTCTGTCTAAATGTTGCTTTCTGTCACATCATGGTGTCTTTTACAGGAAAGCACAGATGTGAATTTGTGACATACGGTATTTGTTAAGTTAGAAGGCTCAGATCAGGGCTGGGTTTGGCTTGAACTGTCACCTGAACTGTGCTCCTCACTGCTTGTCACTATTCTATTAGACTCATTTTGAAATGAATTAATGGGAATGTCTGAGAGACAAACCCAGTCTTTCATGAGATGAGTCTGAGGTGGCTGACGTTCTTCCTAGGCTCACCCTGCCTTAACTGGTCTGGTTTCCTGAGACTTTGTCCTTACTGTGTGTTTTCAAGTTCTGCAGTTTCTCCTCTTAGTAATTTCTACCATCTGTCCACATGCTTTCAAATACTTTTATTGAGAGCCCAATGTCAGTTTTTCAATGTGTGAGAAGAGATAAAAATAACATGTTACTTACAATAATGTACAAGAACACTATAGGGAAAGTGCATGGTTTGCAGGAAATATGTTTTATGAAGAGGCGTAATGGGCATAAGGAATTTGTAGATCATGGAGCAAGTAAGGCAAATAATATTCATGAACACTGAAGTGCAGTTGATTTATATGTTCAGGCATGGAGTGGGTAGAAGTTGGACTATTTTGAGTGACATTTTGTTTACGACTTGCAGAATTCACAATACAGTGAAATGTTATACCCAAGCCCTGTTACAAATATCAAGCCTCTTAAAGACAGCCAATAATCTTCCGTGTAAACTGATAATGTAAAAAGTAATTCTACTCTGATTTGTTTAACTGGAAATAGAAAATAATACATCATGTGAGTCTTATTAAATGAAGAAGGAGAGGCATATATTTTTGTTGACAGGAGACATACATTGTTTACTCCTCTGGAGTCTCATGTTGCTCGTACTGCTGCTTTGTCTTATTGCCAGTCACTGATCTGCTCTGTGTGGGTGGAAATGTCAGAGTTTGTATTCTCTCCATAAGAAAAGCTGTACGTTACTTTGCTTTGTTGTATTCACTTGGGTTTGCTTTAATGCTGTCTCCAGAGAAGGTTTGCTTTTAGGATCTTACTGGCAACTTTAAGCATCCTTTTTTTTTTTTCCATAAAGCATTCTGCTCTGTAAACTCACTGCTGGTAGTTGGTGTCTGTCTGTGAAACCGGTATTTTGCAAAGAGGTATTTTCAAACTGAAATGGAGCATATGACCCGAAACGGTTACAGGGCTAGTTTGGTCTCATGGAGGAAATAAAGGAAAGTTACTGGATGTAATGCCAATGACAGCTTAGAGGGAGACAGTATCTCTCTGCACATCTCCATCTGCCATGCTGCCAGAATTCTCAGATGGTGCCATTGAGACGTTGCTTAAAATGTGCTTCTGTTCTGAAAAGTCGTAAGGTAAAAGCCGCATCTGCTCACTTATCGCAGGTTCTCGCTGCTAGTACTCACAACTAAAAGCCTTCCAGTGACAAAGTGGCTCTAACTGCCAGTGCTCAAGTGCTGGCAGCATTGCTCTGTGCTCTCTGGGTTATACAGAATATCCCCAGCAGGGTTCAGTTCTGTTTAGTTATCGGTAGATTCACAGATTTGTATTTAACAGCAGAAGTAATGCACAAGAAGGTATGGGACTCACCTCATTGCTCCTTAGCTATGTTACTGTGAAGAGTATTCAGCTAGAGCCAACAAAGGTTAATGTATTAAACTCTGCAAGTCAGCCTGCAATGTCAGTGTATTTATGTGAGCAGACATACTGAACAAGCAGGTGCCATGTTTGCAACTTTATTTTTCATGTTATAACCATGCTTACCATGGATTTGCACAAGTGATTCTGGAGTTTTAACATGACTGTGTATTTGGAAAGTGTTGCTTAAGACATTCTCTTAAGTAAGAGGATCTATCGACTTATTGCTAAGATTGTATTTTGGCTAGCAGAATATGCATTACTGATGTTGATGTGCATGAAAGTGATTTGGCTTAATTATCACACAATGTATTTGCAAGCTTTGCTTTTCAACAAAGCACTCTCATAGCACTTTATAATTCCCAGATAAAGGTAGAAGACCACTATGGCATTTCTATGAAGTTACAATGCAGTTGTTTCTTTTGGATTTTTTTTTTTTTTAATAGTATTTCCCAGTTCCTCAATTGAAAATAGCCATTTTGCTGAGTGAGGAGCTAGAGTAGTTCAGAAGTGTATGTTCAGGAAAAGATAACAATGGAGTCTGTTAGTCTCTTTGGATAGTCAAATCATATGATATAATCTGTAATATATTGAAAGTTGGGGAAAGAGTTGCTGCAATTGCTTTTTTATTATTATTATCTATTATTATTTTTTCCACTTGGAGTATTTGCCATATGGGGAGAGGCAGAGAGAGTCAGGATTGTTCAGCCTGGAGACAGCTCAGATCAGAGCCAGAATCTTCTCACTGTGGGCAGGCCAAGGGGCAATGAGCACAACTGAAACAGGGACAATTTCTTTCAAAAAAAAAATAAATAAATAAACTTTTTTTTTTTTGATTTTTGGATTTTGTGCTTTTAGATTTCCTTACAACCTCTGCATTTTGAAGGTTCTCAAACTGAGCCAAACTATCAATGCTGCATTCATCTCTGTGCAGAGCATGAGAAGGCAGGTTTTGCAGGGTTTATAACTTGCTATATATTTGCACAGATCCTAGTCCAGATGGGCATTGATGGTTGATTTCTGGTAACACTGCAATATTAAGTTATTACATGTAGTAATTTAATCAATTGTCTTTAGTGAGTGGGTTTATGCTCCTCTTAAGAGGCACATTCTCCCATCTCTTAGGGATGCAGTCTGCTGGCTTTCTTTGTAGTATCTGTTCCTGGGCAGACTGCAGCAGCCTGGAGTTGTAGTTACAGGGAAAATCTTGTCGAGTTGAGCTGAACATGGCTAACGGATGGATCTGGGGAGGATTCTGCTACTGAGCTTAAGACGTTTTTTCAGAGCAGCATGGATATGAACTCCCCAAACCTTGCGCTGTGGTCAAATGTAGCAGATGATTCCGAGCACTTTGAAAAACTACCTGGTGACAAATTACAACACGCTGAATAAGAGTGACTCCAAGTAAATGCTCACACATGGCAGAACCTTATTGTTAAAAATGGAACCTCCATTGGATGGGATTTTCTATGGAAGTTCAGCCTTATGCAGAAATGTGGCACAGCAAATTCCAACCCAAGCATTAAAAGCTGGCAAAGACAAATTATTTAAAGGACCGTGCCAGGTGTTGGTAGCAGTGAACAGTTTCAGCTGTCCCACCTCTCCTGCCTTCCTGGGACCCTTCTCACCCTAAAACCACAGCACCACGAGCGTGCTCCTGCCAGTGCCTTGAGTGCTAGGCCTTGCTCTGCCAAGCCTGGCTTTAAACACATTTTCACCATTTTATTATGGGAACAGCTCCCGCCTTTTAGGGCTATATTTAGGGCTCGAAAAGATGCCAAACCGCCAGCCCGGGAGGCAAACGCTCTGCTTACAAACCCATCAGGCTCCAGCCTCGCCCTGCAAGGGGACTGGGTCAAGAGGGATGGATCATGAACCCCCACCCTTTTGGCCCAGCGACCCCCCAAAAAACCTTTCCCGACCCCTTTTTGGTGCCCGCAGGGGGCGCCGGGGCGCGCGGCCGTGCGCGGCGGGGACGCCAGGGGGTGCCCGAGGCCGCGCAGCGGGTGCGCGCCCGGCGGGGGGGGGGGGGGGGGCTGAGGGGAAAAGAAGGGGAGGGGGCGAGGACGGGAGGAGGAGGAGGGGAGTGAGGAAGGGAGGAGAAGCGGGGGGCTGAGGGGAGGAGAAGCAGGGGGTGAGGGAAGGGAGGGAGGTGTTTGGGGGGGGGGGGGGGAGCCGCCCCGCCCTCAGTCGCCGTTGCGGAGCCGAGCGCCGCGCAGCGCTGTCCCTTCAGCACCGCCGTCGGCACGCGGCGGCCGCCCTTAATTACAGCGAATCGAATAAATTAACCGAAAATTTCCGCCCGCCCCGCCTCCCCGCCGAGATCCCCCCCCCCTCCTCCCCTCCCCCGGCCCCGCAGCAGCGCCCGGGCCGAGCCGCCGCCAGTGACCGCGTGGTTTGCAGTAAGTAAGGGCTGGGGGGAGGCGGGAGGGGTCCCCGCAGCCCACCCCCCCCTACCCCCACATCAGCACCCCCACATCGCGGGGAGACCCCCGGGGGATCCCCTCAAGGCGGCCGCAAAAAATTTGGGGAGGTGTGGGGGGGGTGAAACGCACCTGGGGCCGGGAGATGCGCCCGGTCCCCGGGGTGGTGGGTGCCGGTGGGTGCTGCTGGTCGTGGTGCTGGTGCCGGGGGGTGATGCTGGTTGGGGTGCTGGTGCCGGTTGTGGTGCTGGTTGGGGTGCTGGTGCTAGTGGGTGATGCTGGTCGTGGTGCTGGTACCGGTGGGTGATGCTGTTGGTGGTGCTGGTGCCGGTTGTGATGCTGTGCTGGGGCTTGCAGCGGATGGGGGGGTTAAGGGGTGTTTGTGGGGTGGCTGTGTAAGGCAAGGAGAAATGCATGTGTGAAGTCAGCCTTGGCGTGGCATGCTGTGCGGCTAGAAACCTGGGTATAAAACCCAGGAAACCAATCCGCCAAGGCAAAGTGAGCCGGGCAAGGCAGAAATCCTCTTCCCGCTACCCTTGTGACATCGATCGTCTCGCTGGTTTTAGGTCTGGAAAGCAAGGTCCGAGAATGGTGAAGCTGGGGAGTAATTTGAACGACAAGAACAGCAAACCACCATCCGGCGAAGATGGTTTTCAGACAGTTCCTTTGATCACGCCTTTGGAAGTAAATCACCTGCAGTTCCCGGCTCCGGAAAAGGTAAAACAAAATCCAACAGCACCCCTGCATGCTTGTACACACATACGTGCCCCTTGGTTTCCCTGCCCTTATCCATTAGTGGTATTTGATGATATGGGCTGTGGCATAGTGTCTATACAATAAAGAAACAGGGGATGTCTTTCTTAGTTATTTATCTGCTTGTACATGACAACTGAGCACACAACTGTCCCCCAGCTCCTTCCCTCCTCAAAAAATACCTAAATATTCCTTCGTATATACAACTGGAAAAGGGTTAGTGTGTTTCTCTTATAAATGCTGGAGAAATTGAGGAGCAGTTCACAATGCATAATTATTATCAGTAAGATTAGTTGCTTGCATTGAGAGTAATTCAAGAACTCTTCCAAAATAAGCAGCTATTTTAATTATCTCACTTAAGGTTTATTTTCTTCTCTGTGGCTATGCAAAGCTCATTCGGGCATTCACGATGCTGATTTCTCTGAAGAGAGCGACTGAATTCCCCCAGTGCACTGGGTGGTGATGGAGCAAGCCCGGGTTTTGTTCCCCCAGTTGGCTCCTGCCAGGGGACAGCTTTCTCCCCTGCCCACTCTCAGCACTGAATGCAGCACTAAGATGTCCAGAAATGTGCCTCAGCGATTGGCTGAGGTTTGGTGGTTGGGGTTTTTTAGATGCAGGATGTGGTTGGAAATCTTTTGTCTATAGCATTGCAGTGACGGTGCATATCGAAATAACCCGGTGAGGACATGATGAGATTGTGAAAATCTGTATGCCCCAACGGTCCTTACAAAAACAAAGCCTGTCTGCAGTGTAGTTCCCAGATACCACAGAGATGGAGCCAACTCACCCGAAAGTACAAGACAGAATGATTAGATCTCACAGGATAATGGAATAATAGTAAAATTAACACTGATGATTATTGAACATACATCCTGTTTTTACTGTAGTACAAAATGAAGTTTCTCTAAATACATTAGGAGAACATGATGATGGATGTGATAAAACTGTCAAGATAGACAAACTGAGTTTATTTTATGATAGATAGAGCTGAGTCAACTGCCTTGACATCCTGGGAACCAGCCAGTGCCAGACAAAGGACCTAGGTTCATTCCCCATGGGCCTCATGGCAATCAGGAGCAACTTCACTGCATTCAGGAGTTACACTTCCATGAATCGTTGTGAATGAGAGGATAAACTGGTCCGTATCTGTGACTCTGATATATAAGGTTAAGCAAAATAACTTGGGCAGAGCAATATGATTTATGACAAATGTCTGAGAAGCTCAGAGGAAGGTATGGATGTGTGAATATAACTCGTATGATCCTAGACAAATGGCTTATTGATACCACACACACGCATTGACACATGATGTGAAATGTAACTGGCTTGTGTATCAGGTGAGACATGGAAAACCTAACAAAAATCCTTTCAAGCTAATAAGGTGGTAATGAGTGTTCTCAAGACCACCACGTTCCAATTGCCTGTTGGTGAACAAACATTGGAGTGTATTGGTCTAGCGTGATTCCTTGCTGATTTTCCTGTTTAAACATGCCTGCATCAATAATTCACATGTTGTTAGGTTACATTACCTTCATTAACATACATTACTGTCAATGCATCTACTGACATCCATATTTCTCTTTGCTGGAAGAGTGGGATGTTTCTCCAGGAGTGCTAAGAGTGATTCAGAACTCATTACAGTCAATGGTATTGATTTCTGCAGGCTGTGGTTCAACTCCTGTGTGCAGTAGGCCTGGAGTTAACGGCGACGGAAGATTTGTTACACGGAGAGGTTATTTACGATAAAACCAAAATAATTCACAATCTGTTTCTTTTGCTCTTTGTAGAACAGATTCAGTTGGGCTGAGTTCACCCTGGGGCAGAGTAAAGACCTGCTAATAAGGAGAGGGGCCTCAGGTGAAGAGCTTGGGTGAAGGTTAAGTGGTGGGGGAAACTTCAGCTTTGTACTTGGTAAAGCAAAGCTGCAACTGAAATCAGCAATACTGTGAGCCTGAGGAAGAGTAAACATAGATTTCAAGTCATTCAGACGTGGATTTTTGTTTGGACTTGCCTTCGTGTCAGGAGACAGGGTTAAAAAAAATATCTAAAATCAATTTTACTTTTTTTTTCTGTGTATTCCCCAAATCCTGCCAGCAGTAGATTTCAGCTTGTAAGAGTGGAAACAAAAGCCAGGGCACTTTCTGTGCCTCTTGCATGGGATGTCGCATAAATCCCCAGAGACAAAACCTGTTTGGTATGGGGGTCTGCGTGTATGAGCTCAGAAGGGCTTTGCTCTCTTTTTCCTAAATGCAAATCAATTGCTGCTTGCTTTTAACCACAAGGAGGCAATGCTCCCAGCCTCCACGCTCCCATCAGGGAATCACAACGCCTATGCTACTGCAACAAAGAGCTGGTGCACCCTGGCATTTTCCTGTGATTGAAATCTAGAAGAAGAAAAACGGGGGGGCAGGAGAAAAGAAAACCTGCTTAAATGCTCCCTTTTCTGGGTTTATCTTGACCATTAGAGGGTATCGTCATTTAAGACACTGTGAGCTCTTAACCCATATCTAACCTGGATTGTCCAGGGGCACTCCAACGTGCATCAAAATGAGAGCAAGGCTCTGTGTATTTGCTCTAGCTTCAGTTTGGCTGGTAATTTGGAGTGGCACAGGCTTTGGCTTGTGATTCAAGAGGAGGCTCGGTCTGTGCTGGGCAGCCCTACTGCTGTTCTCAGTGTGCAGTAATGCCTTCACTTGGTGCATGTATCTCGCATGGCAAAGGTTTGCAAGCACTGTCCATTTATAGGCACCTAGGTTTTTTTTCCAGTTGAGTCTTGGACACCCTGCATGCATGTGGAAGAAAACCAGACCTGTTGTTTCTCAGCATACTTGCCTTTGCATCTCCTTGAAAGCCACCCACAAAGCCCATGGAATTTGCAGACTGAAAATAATTTTTAAGGGCTTAAACTATCAATTTTTTTCTTTGTTTTAACGGTTATTATTATAACTGGATCACTAGAGAATACCTCTAAGTGACTCTTAACATTGACCTCTATAGGTGTTTTACCATAGCTGATCTCTTTCAAGGCATTTTTTGTTCAGCTCCACTTTCAAAGGATACACAGAAAGACTATCAAAATGAAGCTTTTGCTCATGTGATGTAATTCCTGAAGCCCATCTCTTTTCAGACAGCTCCTTGATTATAGGAAATCATTTGGTGAAGGGGAGAAATTCTTAAATTTGTAAACGTATTAGCTGTCCTTTTGGGGATGCTTTACTAATAGGTTTGCTTTTTGAAGTGCTGTGAGCTTTGCAGCTCCCTCTGACATCCACCTTGATACTGTTGGAAGTGAGGATGTCTCCTGCAAAGGCTCATGTTATTCCTCCTGCAGCATCAACATTCTGGTGGATCTGTCAGCGATTGTACGGCTGCAAGGGGAGAAATGTACCCAGGATGGTAATTTCTCCCCTAGGGTGTTAAGCCTGCTGTGTATTTATATTTATTGACTGTCTTCAAGCTTCAAGTTTTTTTCCCTTGGTCCTGTCCCCACCGCTGCCCCCCTTCTCTTGATGGGGAGCATTTGCAGAAGGCAGAGAGATGCTCTTAAATCATTTTTGCGTGGCTGTTTTGCTGAAATCCACCCATGTAGCAGGAATAATAACAGTCACTGGTGACAAGCCCTTGACCTGGCTTTTTATGTTTCTGAATTTAATTTCTTTTGTATTCAAAAAAAAAATAAAATGTATTTTTCTCTCAGGAGCAGGGAAGAAAAGGCTAGCTGTTCACTTGTTTTCCTGGGCGTAGACAAAGTGCTTTAGCTGTAATTGTTATGTGCGTCTGCAATAATAATGCTAAAAAATACGCAACTTTTCACAGACCATACTGTTTCACTGAAATTTTAAATGAGACCAACAACTGGGGACCCCTTGGTCTCATAGGCTCGCTTCAGCAAAATCCAGCAGGAAATGCCTCTGTTCTGGCAGTAAAAATCTTAATTTTACATAATACACAAGTGCATGAAAGCTATTGTCAGGGCTGAAAAAAACATCCGGCATGTCTTTTGTGGGGAAAGCTGCAGAGGGCTTATCATGTGGTCCATTGTTCTTTATTTTGAATGCATCTGGAGGCTTAAGAAATAATTTCTCTGGTGACAAATTCCTGCCATCAACCCAAGAAAGAAAAAAATAGATGTAAATGCTCCCTTCAAATACTTTTCCCACCCCATCCTCCGTATAGTCTGTGGCCGCACCCTGCTCTGAGTGCCCCAGACCATGCTTTTTTATACAGTGTAATCGAGAAATCCTGGAAATCAGGAGTGTCCCTTGAGCTCACAGCCTGTCCCTCTTGGTTTAGTAGAAAATAATGTTTTGTCCTGGCCAGCTGAGTAGGCATAATTAATAGTACGCTGGATGAGTGCTCTGGTACCTAGGGGACTACTTGCAGCTCTGTCCTGAAACACCGCTGTCAGCCTGCCCTCTGCCCTAGCAGTGTGCTGCAGCTCCGGGCAGCCTCAATGCATGCAGCCAGGGCAGCTTGGAGCAGGTTTTGGGGTGCAGTAGGGTACAAAGGGAAAAGAAAGCACGAATAAAAGAAATTTTCTTTCTTTTACTGCAACTATGAAGGAATGGGCAAGCTGTCCTGCCCCATCCTTTCCTTTATCCACCTGGGAAATGCTGCCTAATCCCCACAAATACCAAGTCTGAGCCTTCCTCTCCGGTGACATTTGTCCTCTAAATGCATGTTTGGATGTAAACACCACCTCTGCTCATTAAGCCACAATAAATATTTGCAGCAACGCTCACCCTGACAGTGCAGTGTTTTCGGGGTAACCTTTCTGATTTTGTTTGCGTGTCTCAGACAGCCCTGCTGGAGGTTCTTGGCAGTTTGTGCTCCTCTTCTTCAGATGCTCTTCTGATGGCCTTGCCCTCGCCCTAACATCCTGAACAACGCTGGTTACCTGTGTCCACTCCTGGCAGGGCTGTGCTGCAACCCGAGCGTGTGCTCGCAGCCTGCGCAGACACCCG